TCTCTTTTTAATTTTCATTAGAACTCTGGCTGCAGTATTTTGGATCAGCTGAAGGCTTTTTACTACTGTTAATTGACTTCCTGATAGTAAAGAATTACAATAGTCCAGCCTTGAAGTAACAAATGCATGGACTAGTTTCTCAGCATCACCCCTGGACAGGAGATTGCTCATTTTAGCAATATTCCTCAGATGAAAGAAGGAAAGAAGGGATTTAGATGACAGTTCCTGATCAAAACTAACAGGATGTTTGGGTCTTCAGCTGAGAAAAACAGAAAATATAAATGATTGAGAAACTCAGAGAGGATTAGTCTAAGGGTGGGCAAAAGATTAGATTTGTGGTGTTACAGAATAATTCTTAACACCAGACTTCAGTAAATTATAGTCATCAGCAAATCAAGCCTGTAATCAGACTAAGAACAGGCTGCTTAGTAAAGGAGCTGTTTCTGATTTGGGGCCAGTGTGTCTGTAGAAATGTAAATAAATACTGAACGACTTCTTCTTTGCTCCTTTTGATTATGGAAATCTTTATTTACTACATGATTATGCAGTAGATGATGTAGTAAACACGTTTACTACATCATCTAAGGAGCACTGGGGACATTTTATTGTTGTCTTGTTTCTTTGCCAAAACGTTAATCACTTTAAAACGGTTTAGGGTTAACTTTATTTTATGTAGGTTTATCCTCCTAGGTTGTTTTTTAGATTGTTTTTTTTTTTGCAGACTGAAGCAACAGAAATCTTTGCAAAAGAGTTCAAGCTCAATCAATTTGTTTCTATAGCTCCAATATTTTGGATCTATATATATATTTGGATTTAAGGCTACTTCATTTTTCCTTAAACATTTGAGAACATGAGTGTCTGTGAGGTCTTTACGTTAAGGGTTCCTGTCCCTCTGGAAGCTCAACCTTGATCCCTCTCTCAGGATTGTTGCTGTATGTTTCAGCATAGCTGGTTTTCCAGCACATTTTAAATGTCGGCCAAAAAGTTCTTTTTGGTCACAAATCTCCGTCCAAATCTTGGAGTTTTTCATGGTCAGCCTTGTCTGCACCGCACAACCTGACTGACGGCGTTTCTTTTCCCAACCTGTTGATAAGATGAGATGAATTTATTGTTTTAAAGCATAATTTAGCCTTTATAAGGTTTTTTGTTTTCATTGTCCTGTTTTCTCCTTCATATAAAACCAGTATAAATATAATAATTAAATATCAATAAATAAATAGATGTGAAAGTCCCATGACATAAATAAAACACTGGGTGACTAATTATACAACTAAATGATAAGATGCAAAGCCAAATAATAAGATGATTTATAAGATAATGAAATACCTTTAGATTTATTTAATTTCATCAATAAAACTCTTTTTTTAATCATTAACAATAAAAGTTGTAATTATTTCTCTTTATATTCGTTTCCTTGCCTTTCAGCAGTAGTTGGTTACTGGCATGTAATTAAAAGTGCTTCATTCATTCATTCGTACTTTGATGGTGGCAC